GTTCAATGCTAAAACTTAATATTAATTAGTAATTTACCAATAATAATGATATATAAGGGAAAACAAATATTGGTCATATCTTAAAGTAACAAATACACAAACAACCAAGCTAAGCATCTAACGGATAGACTTGAGGGAAACAAACTTCACCCCTAATTAATTCCGTCCAAGTTGTTTGCCAACTCTTCTAAACAAGTTGCTAATAGGAAAATACTAATTGTCAAAACAAGGAAACAAGAAAAAATTACCCCCCAAAATAGTTACTTGACAAAGATAGCTGGCTTAATTCCTTCATGCACTAAACTTATTGTGATGTTTGATGACATGTCAATGTTGACTTAATAAGTCATGTTATTGCACAATTATTTTGGTAGTAGCAAATTCTGTATTACTACTCAAATAACATGGTGAATCTCACTTTTATTTTAATTATATATCTATAAGAAAAAGGGGGGGAAAGAAGAAGCTCTCAACCTATATGGATCTGAATTCTCTCCAATTAGGTGGTAAATGGGGGAGGGTCTAATTATTCTAATCATTACTATTTGTTCTAATTTCGGGATGGACAAGATAATAGCACATAAGATTTCCACTTCTCTTGAATGCTGCTATTCCACTTGTATATATGATCATTCTTTTAATTGAAAAGAGAATACATACACTATACATTTGCTTTCGTAAACACTCAGCATGCCTCCATAATTTGCATTCATTCTAAATTTGGTAAGTAGTAATGATTCATTATTCATCTAACATTTAACATATGTTTATAATTTACACTCTTTTTCTAATTTACCTCAAAGACAAATCACAACCATCCATTAAATAAATTAACATGTACCATATATATAGTAGTGATATATTTACTGTTTTTTTATTATTTTTTATAGTGAAGAAGATCCGAATCTAGGGTTAAATAGAAATTTAAATTCTCCTAATACTATTCATTCCAGATTTTGATTTTGATCTTTTTAAAATAAAAAACACCCCCCCAAATATTAATTTTATGCGTCATGCAAGCAATATGAAGAAAGATGCATCTTATTTATATATATAATATAATATATAATATATATATATATATATATATATATATATATATATATATATATTATATATTATATAATATATATATATATATATATATATATATATATATGCATCCTTAACTTGGAATAGTAAGGGCATGTTTTATAAATTGCCAACCCAAAATGAGTGGTAAGAACCGACCGATCGACCGACCGCATAGTGCGCGTTCTGAGGTGATGCGTAGTCAGGTTGATATTCCAACCACTTTCTCAAATTCCCCGCAACCGAAGCCAGCAAGCAACAATAAAACAGCACGTGCACAAACCTATTCCCAGAATATCCCCAGTCTCCCCCGCCCACGTAAAACTCCTTCCTTTTAAGCGCCCCCCACCTCAAAAGCCAAATCTCTCCCAAACCAAACACAAAACCCAGCTGCAACCATGCCGGCCGAAACTCCAACCCCCGCTACAACCCACCAAATCAAGACCATCGTGATCCTGGTCCAAGAGAACGCGCTCCTTCGACCACATGGTCGGCTGGATGAAGTCCCTCAACCCCAAAATCGACGGCGTCACCGGCCAAGAGTCCAACCCCATCTCCACCACCGACCCAAACTCCCCGTCGTCCGTTTCAACCAAAACTCCGAGTACGTAGACCCCGACCCCGGCCACTCAATCCAAGCCATCTACGAGCAATACTACGGCGTCCCGTTCTCCCGGGCAAAACCCCCATAACCCCCTCGACTCCCCCGACGATGAACGGGTTCGTTCAGGAGGCGGAGAGAGAGCAGAAAGGCGTGGCTGAGGCTGTAATGAACGGGTTCAGGCTGACGCTGTGCCCGTGTACAAGGAGTTGGTGCGGAGTTTCGCGGTGTGCGATAGGTGGTTCGCGTCGATGCCCTCGTCGACGCAGCCGAACAGGCTGTTCGTGCACTCGGCGACCTCGCATGGGCTGACCAGCAATGACACGAAGAGGTTGGTGGAGGGTTGCCCCAGAAGACGATATTCGATTCGTTGGACGAGGCGGGGTTTGTCGTTCGGGATTTACTATCAGTACCCGCCGGCGACGCTCTTCTACAGGTGCGTTAGTTTGCGGTATGCTTACTGGGTGGTGGTGAGTGGAGCTTAATTTGCTGTTTGCTTTGTAGTTAGGCTTAGCGCGAGGAGTTAGGGGCGGATGATCCGACACGCACGCACGGTTATCAGATCTCAATCTGGTGGGCCCTACTTTCGGAGAAGTACAATGCCCATGACCTTTTTTTTTTTGGGGGGGGGGGGGCATGGCGGGTGGGGTACTTTTTGTGCTTGGTTCACACAACGCAAGCAATATGAGTAAAGATGATCGGTTTAATTAATTATTATATATATATATATATATATAGTATATATATATATAATATATATTATATTATTAGTATAATATTATATTTACATAATCATACGTTATATGTATATATATTAATTTATATTATAGTGTATATATATATATTGATCCTTAATTTTGGATAGTTAAGGGGCATGTTTATAATGCACCATAATGGGTGAATGACCAACTTGGTGTAAGACCGTTCGATGACGACCGCATAGGTGCCGTTCTGAGGTGAGGTGCGTGTCATGGTTGATATTCAACAGTTTCTCAATTCCCCGCAACGAGCCAGCAAGCAATATAAAACGCACGGCGCTATGAATCATGTCCCCCCCCGCCCCCCCCCCCCTAACCTATTCCCAGAATATCTCCAGTCTCCCCCGTTCCACTGTAAAACTCCTTCCTTTAAGTTTGCCCCCACTTCAAAAGCAAATCTCTCCCAAAGCACAACACAAACCAGCTGCAACCTGCCGGGCCGAAACTCCAACCCCCGCTACAACCCACCAAATCAAGACCATTGATTCCTGAGTCCTAGAGAACCGTCCTTCGACCCACATCATGGTTTCGGCTGGATTGATGAAGTCCGGCTCAACCCAAATCGACGGCGTCACCGGCCCAAGGTTCCAACCCCATCTGCCTACCACCGACCCAAATCCCCGTCGTCCGCTTTCAACCAAAACTCCTTCGCAGTACGTGCTCATTGACATGCTTGCATGACGCATAAAATTAATATTTTTTGTTTTCAATGTATAAAATTATGACTCAATGGGCTTTGGGATTAATCTTGTGGCCTATAGCCCATAGGCTTTTGCTTAAGGACCAAAGGGAGGCGGGCCCCTTAAAGTTCGGCTCATGGTATACACGCATTCAGTTAATGATTTATCTATCTGTTTATCGTCACGCACAGATCACCTACAAAATTAGAGGAGCATAATACTTCAACGTAGAGGGGTTTCATTTTTCTCTTTTAGGATGACGACAAAAATATATTAAACTTCAAAGCGAATCAATTTTTACATCTTACTTTCGTATCATTTTCAATAAAAAAAATATTATTTCAATTTTCAATTTCATACAAACAAGCACCCATTTCACCTTACCTTCATGAATCATTCCCAGTTGGGGGTTCATAATCAAACCATCAAATTTCGAGCGCTTGCAATATAATTATTGGACGGAAATGTATAGTTTTAACTATTAATCACTTTTTATTTAAATTTTGGCCAATACAAGTAATCCAGACAACTGGGAGGTTACAAGATGCATGACTCTGATGGTCTAGGGTTCAATTCCAAGCTAGGCTATTAAAAAGAAAAAAAAAATATCTATTCAGGCTTTGAACTTATTGATGTCAAACAAAAGAAAATACATGCCTTTAAGTTAAAATTTTGTGTTCATGCAATTACATCTAATAGTTTATGTAAGCATTGTTTAGTATATTTTTCGAATATTCTAAGGTATCTCATTAGAACATGTGTGATGCTGATCAGCATGAGTCGATTCATTGATCCCAAAACACAGAAAATTTCAGTCTTAAGCAACTGTATGCACATGGGCTTTCTTGTGCTAATTGAATGTTCCTATGTTGTTGGATTCCTAAGAAATTATTGACCCATAACACGCATGGAATCAACTAGGAATGATGCTGCTTCTTCAATTTTCATTTTTTAATTTTAAATATAATTCAACCAGTTTGCATCTGCTCTCTGCTAATTAATATTCGCCATCTTGGAGCTGGACATGCTCAGCTAAATGGGATATATGAAGAAATATGAAATTGGAGATGTTTTCGTTCAGAATAAATTTCATAAAACCCGCTTAAGTTTGGCACATATTTTAATAAAACTCTAAATTTTATATATGTCATTTTTAAACTCTATTTTATAATAAATTCCACGCTCAATAAGTTTTTGCCATTTGCACTAAAGTCCTAAAAAGTTTGAAGCTCTCACTAAATTCCAATAAGATTAATCCTCAAAACTTTTTGATGTTTTGCAATTTTCAATTTTCAATTTTCAATATTGTTTCATTTTTAGATTTTTTTAAGGAGGTATTTGTAATTTTTAGTTCTGTTTGGAGCTCTTTGTAATATTGATTTTTCAGCGGTTGTTTGTAATTTATACAAAAAAAAAGTCAGTAATTTTCAAATTTGGGGTTAAGTGCTAGAGCTTTAAACTTATCGAGCATTTTCTGACAAAATCTATTGAGAGTATTTTTGTTTTATTTATTAGTTATTATTATTTATTATTATTTTTGAGAAAAAGGATGGAGCAACACAAAGCTAGCTCAGTCAGCTAAATAACCAAAAGGCGGTTGTTACAAAATTAGATCGTAGCCCCAACGCCAAGAGTATGATCTAGCAGTTCAAAGGATTACTGATGTCAAAGAAAGGAAAAAAAAAATACCCCTGTACATAATACTAACCATAAAGTTCACAAAAGAGAGTATATTACTATAGCATAAATCATAATCTAACCCCAAAATGTATTCTGCAGCAAACAGGATCATAAACTTGATCTTCATTCAAGAATTATTGAGTATTTGGGTCATTTAATTATTGCATATGAACTAACATTGTTAACTTTGAATGTTTTTGAGGAAAGATGTTATTGGGGTGTAACGAGAGTTTTAAACTTTTTGGATGCTTATCGCAAAATACGGAAACTCGTTTGGGTTTTAGTGAAATTTACCCTTAGTAGAGACATACATCCGATGAATCTTAAATATCCATAATATTATGAAACATATATGCATACCGACTGGTCTAAGGGATTATATAATTTATATCCTCATGAAGCAAGAAGATAAAGGCCACAAGCTAAAGAATTAAGTAGCATCCAATTAAGAACTGGTTGTGCCGTATGAATTTGGATAATCAGAACTCAGAAGCGTCCGTGCTTGTCCCTCTAATTTAATTGGAATCCTAAACTAGTGAAATTATGACATTTATTAGTGGTGTATGAGGCAATGGGCCGGGTTACAGATGTACTAGCTAAGCCTATGTTAGTTTAAGCCGAGGCGCCAGTGAGTGATTATAATTAAGAACCGGACGGCCTATTTAACATTTGTTAAATGGATCATGATTCGCCGGTCCATTTATTTATGGTCGGCCCATACGCATTTAAATATAACAACACTTGTATGTATGAACACTTTGATTGAACTGGCACCATATTTTGTAGGTGCGGTTTGATTGGGAGCCAAACTGAGAAAATATTACGGGAAAAGTAAAATTGACTGTGAGCCAGACTAAGAAAAGAAGTCCCGGCTCCATCCAGTATTACAATTTCTCTGACGCAGACCAAATCCAGGCTCATCGTTATTGTCTGGAGTACCCGTGCGTTACTGGCCCAAACGCGACAAAATAAGAGGCCTAACTAAATTTTAAAACCTACTCATTTGATTGGGCCCAACTAGGCTAAGCCCAGACACAAAAAGGACCTGCTCCGGGTCCCTTCTAGTGAGCTAAACTCCGCGGGCCGGCACTGTCTTGACAAAAACACTAATGTTTCGTTCTACTTGTTTATTAATTCATCGATGAATTTAACTTTTACTTCAAGATCTAAGGTACAAAGGTTAAGGGTCTTTTTGTTTGCTTAAAAAAAAGGGAAATGTGTCGTCACCTCAACTTTCAAGAAATATCCCATATGCCACATGGGTTTTTGTTTTTATGAGGTTTCCATTTCAAGTGTTTGTTTCTTTTTTAATTTTCAAGAAATGAAGTGTCACATCGGATGCCACCTCACATTTTTAAGAAATGTGTTTTCACAACAAAATGGACTGAAAACAATTGGAAATGTCCTATCTAAGAATTATTAATTAGTAAAAGCATTGTTTATGAGGTTATGAAGAATAAAACATATTATTTAAATTGGTTTTCTCTTTTTTGCATTTTTCTTGTTCTCAAACAAACAAAAGAAATGGAAATATCCAACATTGTTACTATGGAGGTTTTTTTGTTTTTTGTGTGGCTTGACAGTTAAAGGGGGAGTTTTCTTTGCGAAAAAAAAACTGTGAAATATCTTGAAATGTCATGAAAGCATTTAAAATGTGACATTTCCATTTTCGTTTTTTTTGGAAATAGCCAAACATAAAAAGATTAGTCATGCGCAAATATGGGCCCGGATTCGCTCCTGCTCTTGAAATACCCAGTGATGTTTGTGCTACGCTACACTACCATAATCTAAATCTCGTTAGTTTTTCTTATAAAAATTAAAAAAATAAATAAACAAAGATACTAAAAAAGAGATAAAACGGGGAAAGAAAGACAGAAAACAGCTAAATTATCAAATTAAAATATTTTCAAACAAATTCCATCCATCTACTAGCTAGATAGCATAAAGCCACAAACAAAGGCCCTATAACCTTTTTATATATGAGATTAATAGGTATCCTTGTCAAAGAGGGAATTTCCCTCCTTGATACTTATGTGGCATAATCTCCACCATCCTCATAAAGTAGGAGAGAGATGGTAAGTTGGTGGGGATTGTGTCACATAGGTGTCAAGGAGGAAAACAGCTAAATTATCAAATTAAATAATATAAATATATATATTATATGATAAGATATATATTAATACTATAATAATATATATATATAAGAGAGAGAGAGAGAATAGAAGAGAGACGAGAGAGAGAGAGAGAGAGAGAAATATGGTATGTTTGGTACAAGCACAAAAAGTTATCTTGCAGTGAGATGTCACATCTCCCACACCTCTGTCAAATGTCGGACCACGATTCACATGGGTAATGGTTGAAATGAGG